GGATACCGCGGCTTTGATCTCCTCTGAGACAACATTCCGAAAAGTAGAAAGAGGGTTTTCTCGCCATAAGTAGCAGAAACGTTTACCTCTAGGCCAAACAAACCTTTCCACAAGAGGTCCCTTTCTAGGAAATCCGTGGTGTTTTCTGGGTTGGATTCATGTGTGTGGAGGAAACCAAAAAGAAATTGGCGGCGCGATTGTACGGTATAATATCTTTCACCTATATCAAACAGCAGCAAATTGGTAGTACCATAATGTGATAGTAGGATCGAGAAGAACAAATTGATAGTAGGATCGAGAAGAACAAATATGGTCTGTCGTAACCGCCCAGACACGCTATAATCTTGACGAGGACCTCCAGAACGCGATACTTCTCCTAGCAATTTTGGGTGTGTTAAAAAAAACCGAAAAAAAGTTTGAAACCGAGAAAGTGAGAAAACCTAAAAAGGATCTATTCCACAAGCGGAGTACGTGCCCTCTCCCTAACTCGCGTCGAGGAGTCTCCAGCTACGCCCGTCCCTCGGAGTAACTGGACCGCTATACGCTACGCATTCGATGGAAAGGAAGTTCTTAGACCATTCGTTTACGTCGACACAGCGCCTTTTTTCAAAACATAGTTGGATATGCTGGGCACCATTCAGCCGTTAACCAGCCCCTAAATGGACCTGCTTAAAAAGTAGATTCTGGTGTACTCAACGGCCATCCAGCTAACATTATAGTTAAAGGCAGTTGGCACGATGGTTTCCTACTTAGCCTAAAATGCTAGTAGGGCGCTGTATAGTGGGGAAATGGCGAAAGAACGGAGTGAAACGGTCAAAATCCTGCGAAGAAAAAGCCTCCGTTCTCAGTGACTTGTAAATCGATTTCGGACGAGTTTCCCGTAGGCATCTTACCAATCACCGCTACCGAAGATGGCTGCATATGTGTACCCATGTATGCATGCAGCATCACGGCCGCTTCATACCAATCCCTTCGCTTCATAATTTGCTTGCAATGAAAACGATAAGAGCGTCAGGTCGTCGATGGACGGGCAGCGCGTTTGGGATGTAAAAGTTGTGGCTTGATAGGGCCCTTATAAAGGCATCTTCCTCGGGGAGACCGCTATGCAGCGCCTGCCCAGGGTGAGTATTGATCCTATTCGTCTTGGGGATTCATCGTGCCAACTGCCTTCAATACTTTAAGTGCATATCACGACTGATGATTTCCATGGCCACTGCACTTCATACAGCCACTGCTCTCGCATCCGTGAGAAAACGTATGTCTTACGGGGAGTGGGACACAGATTTTAGCGAAACACAGGGCACTTCACCAATTGGATGCATACATGAGCGGTAACAATTGGATCGAAGGCTGCTCGGCTGCGCTAAGCATTCAGCGTCGTATAGATGCCCTCATTTGAGGATGTTGGAGCTGGGAACGAATGAACCGACTATCACAATCAGGACACACCATCGTTGGAGATCCCGAAAGGGGGAGGAGGTTGTATCTGGTCGTTAGTGGGGGGAGGTCGTATTTGGTCTTAGAAGATCTTTTTTCTACAGCTTGTTTCACGGACGCTATAGAGGAGGTCCTAAAAATGGCCGATCATAAGGCACCTTTATGTGGAGGTCTGCCGCGAGCATGCACATGAAAAGGCTCAAGTCGTGATGGCAAAGAGAGTGTTTTGCAATCGGCGACTTGAGAGCGGAGAGTGCGAGAGATGTGATTTCGAATTCTTGCGCATTGGAGTAGATTGCAGTTAAAAGGATCTGGCAGCTCGGCAGTGTTTTTCGTCATAACGTGTTGCGTCCAGGAAGCGGGACGTTTTTCTAGGAAATGGATATCGCTCTGTCCAAGGGATTCCTCGAAGACAGGAGCATGTGGGCGTTGTTAGTGTATTGCGGTCGCAGAATGTAGATGAGACGTGCTGCAGGGTGGTGTCGGGTGAGGGCGGTGGAACTGGTCATCAGGGCACGTCGCTGGTCCGGCTGATGGAGAAGCAAATTCTGCGAATGACGGAAGCCCTTTCCTGATCTAAATTTCCTCCTCTAAATACTAACCCGTCTCTCTTCCCTTCTATCGCATAGATCTTTCCTGAGTTCTCTGACTCGTTCATGCGCCTTAGCCGCGCGTGGGTAGACGTCAGTTTTCCAAAAAAATTTTGGAGTTCTTTCCCAAAAATGCGAGGGAAATAATATCATCACCAGGAGGGAATACAGCAACTAAAAACCAAATTCAACTATCGAAAACAGGGTTGTATAAGGAGTTTGACTATATACATAGGAGGTTATATAGAAGATTAAAAGAAGAAAGAAGGTACTGCCCTCCCTCTCTCGAAACGACGAGCAAAAACGTTCCCCCTCTTACTCTCCAATCGGAATGCGATGGGTGCTGACTGTCATGCTAGTAACTTTCTAACTCCTACTCCAAAGTATAGTTGTCGCAAGGACGATTTATGGCCAAACAAGACTTTTTCAACGGATGATGCAGACAATGACCAGGTTACACTAAGGTTGAAAATATATACAAAAACTGAAGTTATCGCCGATCGACCAGCATCTTTTTCACCACTTTGAAAGTTGGAAAGTAATCCCGCATGCGTCCTTGAAGGACTCATTTAGCCTTACTACTGCACATGATCACTCATCGAGGCCTCATGCAGAATTCGAATGGACCTCTTCAACCATTAAATGCGCAACTGTTGCCCCATGAAATCCAAGTGAAGTAAGAATCACTGCCTGGTAGCTATTTTATGGGGAGGGGACCTTTGTGGACAACTGGAAGCTCTCGCAAAGCTACAAAACAGCACAAGTTCCTTTTTGTAAACTGTACTTCTTACCAAGCTACAGAGCAAGTCCAATTACAAGCGAAGAGAACTGGTCGACGACGCAAAATTGGGTCCAGCGTAAGTAACCTAGTTCCCGCGAGATCTGAACAGCCCTTTTTGCTCAGAGCTAATTTCCTCCACATTGATGGTTCTTCTCCCTGGAGTTAGGCACAGATTCTCATTCCCATGACTCTCAAACATTTCTGCATACCTTCCTGTAACAAACTCTGTCCATCATTCGCTGATGTTGGTAAGCAAGAAAACCATGTGCAAGTGAAATTCCTGCTGGTCCTGTTTTCTGGCTCGAAAGGGACGATCTGCGATAGCCTACAAAAATGTAGGAGACTAAGTAAGAATCGTAGGCAACTCCTCAGTGGACAACCTTGTGCCAGTTTCGCGGCGCAAAGTTGTATGGTGAAGGAGCTAAGGCGCAACTTTGCTCCAGTGACACCTCCCTTTTCCCGGTGACTCCGCCTCCACATTCCGCCTCCGAAGTTCGCCTTCCAGCCAAAAGCGGTTCTACCGAACAAGTAGCTCTGCGACCTAGGAATGGATGATGTACCGTCTCTTGTGCGGTCATAGAGTTCAGCACAAGGAATCAGCCGAGTGAGCTCGCCCTAAAGAGCGATCTCTTGACCTTTTACGCTCACAATTGTTTAAGGCTAGAGGGGCCCTAAAGGAGGCGCTGTCGACGTTCCCTCTAGGATTTTCTCTTCGCAGACGAGTCACATGACAGCTTCTCTCCCATGCTGCAACAGCATTACATACTTACGCCACTTGTAGCGGTCCCTCCCTTTAAGTGGGCCGGACAAATCTATGTCTTGATAGTCTATTCGAATATGCTCACGTCACCTGCGGGGTTCTTTCTATAACCAGTATGGGAAGGGAAAGGCCCCGTACTTCACCTGAGCATGGCCTGGAATGCATTTTTCTGGGAAAATTTCCATTTGACAATTCATTTTGCTTGCACTGGACCGAGGCACATCTACGGTTGTCCTAAAACGGCATATCTCACCAAAAGCAGCCGCTGCCACGTTCAGAAGAAGCACATAATAGCCTCCTTCCCATCTCCCGGATATCAAGGGTATCATGCAGTTGATTTGGGCGAAACTGTGGATTCATACGATTAAGTTCTTTGAGGAGGTTGGATTTGAAGGCTCGTTATAAGCTTTTTGAATCTTCAAATCTACAAGTTCAGGAAGGAGTGAATTAGGCGAGAAGGTCAGTGGCAGGCGACCCGTTCCTAAAACACTGTAAGGCGTCCCCCAGAAAGAGTTCTTCGCTTTT